TCCACACTCAAGACACTGAGGTTCAAAGCAGAGGATGCCAAGTCCCATAGAAGAAATGTTACAGTGTGCCATAGGGCTCAAAGGGAAGAACAGGAAATGCTTTTATAGATGAGGTGATAGTTGAGAGGAGTCTGAGAATCTAACATTAAAAGACTTGGGAGGAATGAAAGGAGGCATTCTGGGCACACGTAACAAAGAGGCAGGAAGGCATGGGGCTGTTTGGAGAAAAGGAAGGAAGAAAGTTTTAGCAGGAAAGTAGGCCACAGGAAGAGGATCAGCGGCAGATGAGTCACACCGGCCAAACAGGGAGCCCTGAATGACAATATGGAATTGGTAGGTAATGAGGAGCTACTGGAGGCCCCCCAAATGAAAATGGAGAGAACCAAAGTGTGCTTTGGAAACCTGCACCCGGCAACAGAACGGACAGGGATAAACTGGGGAAGGGGCACTGGAGAGCCCCAGCTGAATTAACAGCAATAGCTGACCTTATTGAGGGCTTACTATGTACCAATCCTGCTAAACTCACATCACCTCATTTAATCCTCACAACAACTCCCTAAGGTCCTCTTACCATACCATTGTACAGAAAAGGGAACCCAGGTGCAGAGAGGTTAAGAACTGTGCTGCAGTTCATACAACCAGTCAGCGGCGGAGCTGAGATCCACGGCTACCCAGCCGGCCTGACTCGAGGGCCAGCACTCTCGACCACTAGGCCAGCCTTGCACTCTGATTTGAGTTGAACTGAGAAGTAGGGGGAATAGAGAGGAGGAGAAAGATTCAAGGGACACTGCAGAGACTGTATCTCTGTAACCTACCAACAGAGTTGAAGGACAGGCTGGAAAAAGTTTGAAATAAGGTTCCTCAGAGTTGTGGCAATCAAGCCAGCAAAAGACCCAGAGTTGCTCATAATCATATACCAAGTTCTGCTGCGAATGATCCTATAGAGACCAGCTGCTTCCAGAAACAGTTGCCTTAGCTTTCAAAGGCTGGAGTCTACTTGCTAAACACTCCAAGAGTTGCCAGGAAAACGGAGATGGTGATTGTGCAACAGATTGAATTATGTCCCTCAAAATTCACATGTTGAAGTCATAACCTGAGGTACCTCAATACCTCAGAATATGACTTTATTTGAAAATTGGGTCATTGCAGATGTAATTAGTTAAGATGAGTAGGGTGAGCCCCTAATCCAGTATGATTGGTGTCCTTACAAAAAGGAAAATTTGGATGCAGATATGCATACAGGGAGAACGCCATGTGAAGGTGAAGGCAGAGAGTGGGGTGATGCAGTAGAAACCAAGGGTTGCAAAAGACTGCCAGCAAACTGCCAGAAGCTAGGAGAGTCCTGGAACAGATTCTCCCTCACGGCCCTCAGAAGGAACCAACCCTGCCAACACCTTGACCTCCAACTTTTCACCTCCAGAACTGTGAGACAATAAATTTCTGTTGTCTAAGCCACCCAGTTTGTGGTACTTTGTTACGGCAGCCCTAGGACACTAATACAGTGACCTATGCCACTCTTCCCATAAGGAGACCATAGGTGCCTCCTGACTGCGTCCTTTAGTAAGCAAAGTGAAGAGCCTGCTGTGAAACTTCGCTGTACTGCAACATATGTAATTATAAGACAATTTCTGTATTGTAGCTGTGGGTTAAAAACAGGCAAGTGTTTAAAATTTCATCTATCTCCAATTGCCCAGGTATCAGGGACTATCTTTTATTTTGAAACAAAAAACAATCTTTACTTTAGCAATCAAGGACCTTCTTTCTCTTCCCTTTACTCTTAGACACAAGTATCGACTGTGTCAGATTCTTCCTGTGACCTGAAGAAACCCAGCCCAACGGGCAGTAAATCAAGAGGTCCTGCTGGACACCTCTCACCCAGCACAGGGTCCTCGTCCCAGGGCATGAAACCGCATCAAGATGACCACAAGCCCTCTCAGTTTCTGTGCGGCAACAGCTCTCTGAAATACTGATGCTGGCCACAAGCAGTCACACCAGATTCAAATACGCTCACACATTCAATTCTGCCAAAACTGTTCATTTCTTTGTTTAACCCGTGCATTACTCTGAAGAACACGTGCTTCACCGGTTGTAAGTGAATGGTGGTGGTTACGAGGGGGAAGCATGTCTGCCCTGGGGAATTCCAGATTCTGTTTGCAGATAATGATTAGCCCCACTAAGAAGTAAAACCAAAGCAGGACTTCTTTTGATACTTGGAAAATCCCTGAGCCCAAAATATTATGCACATGTACAAACATTATGGAAAATTATACTATAAGACAAAAATCTACCACTCCAATGTAAGGCACCGGAATTATCTATTTTTTTTAAAACCAAACAAATCTATAACATTCCTTTGGGGCAAAGAACTCCCTCTCTGAAGTTAACAGTAGCTGACATTTATGAAGCACAAAGAGTGACTGGCACTGACAGGCACAGTTCCCAGCCGGTTCCGTGGAGTGAACTGTTTAATTCTCACAACAACCCTGTGGTAGGCACCTATACTATTCCCATTGTGAGGTGAGGAGAATGAAGCACAGATAGGTTAAGAAATGGCCCAAGGTCACAGAGGTATAAGTGGTAGAGCTGGGAATTCAAAATCAGGCAGTCTGGCTCCAACACACCCCACCCCCTTACCAACCAATCAACCAAGCTCGAAACAGGAACAAGACAAAAGGGAATCAAGTGAGTGGGGACAGGTTAAGGAGGGTGCGTGGAGGACGGGGGCGAAAGAGAACAACAATTCCGTTCCAGGCCCTGGGCTGGCACTTCACACATGCTTTTCTCATTTAATTGGCATAACACCCTGAGGTAAGAATTACTCTCCCACTTGACAGATGAGACACTGAGGCTTGGAGTGACTAACGTAACCCCATAAGAGGGCACATTAGTACGTGATGCCCCCAAACCCAGGTTTGCTCATTGCAAAAACCGGTGTTTTCCCAGCCATTTTCTCCCACAGTCGTGGTTTCAAATTGTAACTTCAGCATTATGGATGGTACAATCTGCCTTGAACAGTCAACCCAGCACTGGAGAGCAGTGGTCCTGGAGTCAAGAGTGGAGGGCATCACCTCATTCCTGCTGTTTGCTTGTCCAGAGAACCTGGTGTTTAATTAATCTCCCAGTCTGGGAGTCAGGAAGCTCAGGTTCTAGTCCCACTTCTGGCACTAACTAACTGTGGTTTAGCCAAGTCCCCTGACCTCACTGGGCATCTATTTCCCTTAAGTACAAATTGGATATAAAGATGCCTGGCCTGCATATCCCACAGGGTTGATGTAAAAGGCATTATCAATAAAAGTGAATTGGCTGGGAAAACGGTAATGTGCTCCACAGCTGATTATTGCCAGCAAGGACATCATAACCAGGTCATCCCAGTAGCTACCACGGTCCAACAGGTCCACACATGCCGGCTGGGAAGGCAGTGCCAGAAGAATGGTCCTGGGTGAACTTCACCCTCTCCCCTAAGAAAACTAGGCTCATGGCATCCAAGGAGGTCAGGCTGGGCCTAGGCCCCCCGAGCTTCCTCCAAGGCAAGCTCGCCTGTGTAAATAGGCATCAACCAGGCGATGTTGGGAGGCGGAGGGAAGTTCCTCAAGAGTGAACAGCCTTGCCTCCCTCCAGGTCCCTGTACACTTGGCAAGCTGGCTGGCATTCAGCTGTGAGGGGGGCAGGGTGCCATCTGGTACAGCATCCACATCGGGTTTCACCCCCGCGTGTTACAGAATCAGGAATAGTAGCAGTGCAGCACGCACCACGTCAGGGGACAGAGGATTCAGCTGAGACAAACCCACAGGGTCCAGACCGGATGAGTGAATGGGAAGAACCTTCCACTGTTCTGAACAGACAGGAGCCCACCAGACTCTCACTAACCCCCACCCCGAGTTCCGGCCCCAGGAAGAGGAAGGGATCAGATCTGCATAACAGTGAATCACCAAGTGCTTTGGCACAATGACCCCTCCAGGAGAGGGTGGAGAAGCTCGTCTGGCAACTACCTACACAAACAGGGCAACTCCGAAGAGCAGCAAACAAACCTGTCCAGCCCCAATGCCCCTTTTGCATAAGACTGCAGTCCACAAAAACAACGTCCACGGAACACTTTTTGATTGAAGTCAATTGTTAACACTAAGGTTTGGGCCAAGAGAGAATTAAAAAGGCCTCTTGGAAAGATAAGGTGGTTTTGTGGAAATTGGTATTAAGTGTCCTTTAAGACTCCAGCGGGCCAATGGGAGCATCAGATAGGATGCTCAACCGACAGATCTCGGCGAACTTTGTTTCAAAAGGAAGTTAAGCCGAAGGGTTCGGACCCATAAACCAAAGAAAGGGAACTTGTTAGTCACTAGGTGACCGTCAGGGTACCTGTTTTCTTTATGGTAATAAGGGGTTATACAAGTTCCAAGAGAGAGGAGGATTGTTAGGTCACAGCTGGATCGTCTGCCCCCTGGCCTCGGCCTGGATACTGACCACGGCTCCTTAACCCAGGGAAGCAGCAAAAACGAACTGCCATTGGGTTAAAATACGGGCGGGGGCCGGCCGTCGCGTGAGGCCGGGAGAGTGGTTCTTAAGAGAAACGTGCATCGCCCCCGGAGGCCAAGGTCTCCTTCGGATCCTCCAGGTCGGGCACGGGTTCCAGAAACAGACATCTCAGTGTACAGGAGGTACTGAACAGATAGTGGGCAAGAAAATCACCAGCATCCCTTCCTCCCTCCCCTTCTCCGAACTCCCTTTGATAGCTGCCAAACTCAGGAGAGGTGTCCTCTACAACCAAACGGATGATTTCACCCGCTTCTTTCTCAAAAACCCAAAAGCCACAGTGACGGCACTAATAGCCTTCGCTCGGATCCACAAAAAGGAGAGGCGCAGAGTCGTCCGCGAACCCACAACCAGCCAGGGACTGAGGGTGGAAGGAGAGCGCTGGTGTGCCCCTTCCCTAGGTCCCTCACACCCTCTAGGGCTCCTGGCCAGACCCCCCCAGCACCTCGCTCGCGTCCCCAGGCTCCTGTTACCTCGCTCGCGCGTCCGCCGGCGTCCGGCACCTGAGCCGTCGGTTCCGCCGGTGCCTTCTCCTCCTCTCCGGCGGCCAAGGGGCTACTCGGAGCCGCTCGGGGGTCCCCGCCGCCCCCCGGCGCAGCCTGGCTACCGCTGTCCACGCCGGCGCCCACACCTCCGGCCGACGAGGCGGCGGCGGCGCCGAGCAGCCCGTGGGCCCCGTCGGCGTCCCCGGCTGCCACGCTGTGCACCAGCCACGCATCCACTCGGGTGCGGGGGATGAAGGGGACCCCCAGCGCGCGCACCTCCCGGAGCAGTTGGCCCTCGGGCGGCGCTGCGGGGTCGGGGTCCCAGCCCTTCGGGTGCAGTTGGTGTGCGCTCCCCCACCCTCCCGAGGCGGGCAAGGGGCTGAGAGCGTAGGCGGGGCTCGTCGGGCCGCCCCGGAGGAGCAGCAGCTCATCCCGGAGCAGGGTGTGCGGCGGGAGCAACAGGCAGAGGTCCAGGTCCAGGTCTAGGTCCAGGCGGAGCCCCGCCAAGCTCAGCAGGATGGTGAGGTGCAGGAGACCACCGCCGTCCGACCACCACGGCTTCAGGTACTTCATCTCCTGCCGCGCGCCCGCGGACACCCCTGCCGGCGCCCACAGGTCCCGGCGCTCCGGCCGCCGCTTTGGCACGTGCGGGCCCCGCGCGGCGCCGGCACCTGCCCGGAAGAGTCAGAGAAGCGAAACAATGGACCCGGGCGCCCAGCGGCCGTCGCGGGCTCCCGGGGCCGGGCACAAAGGCGCTCCCTGGGCAGCCGGCACGGTGCCTGGGGCTCAGGAGAGACGGAGGAGAAGCCACCTGCTCGCCCAGCCCGCTCGCCCATCCACCCTGCAACCCTGCAGCCCCGCGCCCCGGCCAGGCTCCGCCCCGGGCCGCGGGCGCCGCCGCAGGGGACACGCCCACGGCCGCCCCGGGCCCGCGCCGTGGGAGGGGCCCGCGCGGGGCGGGGCTCCCCAGCTCAAAGGCTCTTTATTCCGGGGGAACGCAAAGCTCTCTGGGAGCAGTTGTTCCGGGCGCGAAGTGTCCCCTACCTTGTGGCGGTGGGCTGGGCTGTTGTAGCTGAATGCGCGGGGTGGGAGTAGGTGGCCAGGGGTAAAGGTGGGTGGGAAGGACAGGATGTGTAGACTAGGGGAAAAGTCGAGGCATGGGCAGCATGAAAAGGGACTGCACCCACGTGAGAAGGCAGGCGCAGTGCCCTCAGGAGTCTGATCCCTGGGTTCGGATCCCAGCTCTACTATCTGCCAGTCGTGTGACCTTGAATAAGTTACTTAACTTCTCTGTTCCTCAGTTCTCTTATCTGTAAAACGGGGATAAGAGTACCTGTCCAATAGGGATGTGGTGAGGTCAGGTGAAGTATTATATGTAAAGTCCAATGTTTGACATTTAGATACCACAGCTGCCATTGGGATTAAACAGCACTGCCCCCAAACCCTGTCCTTGTCCTTTCCCGTGACCCCCATTTCTCCCCCCACCCCCAGGGGCTCTGTGCTCGAGCGTCACAGAATCCTCACTGTTTCCTGGGGGTGCCCTGCACAATACTTGGCCTTCCCTCATGGTCTCCTTTGCTCCTTAAGTGAGGGTTATGAGCATCAGCTCTACAGTTACCCTGTATGAGTTCGAATACCCCCTCCAGCACTTACTAGCCTGGACCTTAGACAAACTGCTCATTCTCTCTGTGCCTCAGTTTCTTCCCTGTAAAATGGGCCTAATAATAGGACCTCCCCAGCAGACCTGTTGTGAGCCCCAAATGAGATGCATGTAAAGCACCAACCACAGCACTTGGTAGGTAGGAAGTGTTCTCTGAGTATTACCCATTATTTGTATTGCCCATCCTCCAAGGCTTAACCCCAAAGATATATCCTCTGAGTTTTCACGGTTTGGAATTAATCTCTTCCCCCATCTGCTCTCCCACAGTGCTTTCTCCATATGCCGACATTGCGACACTTGGCACATTCTTCTTTGTACTATAGTTGAGATAGATCTGATTTGCCCATTGTAAATTCTTGAGGGCAAAAAACCTGGTTGGCACACCTCTGTGCCTTCATGCTACCAAGCACTGGGCCTTGCAAATGTGGGTTTTACTAACTCTCACTCCCTTCCTTGAGGGGTAAGGGAGAAGGAGGGGATGCCCACCTGAGGGTTGGCAGTTGTGTAAGAAGTTGAGCAAGACTTGTTTTTTTTTTTTTTTTGTGAGGAAGATCAGCCCTGAGCTAACATCTGCCAATCCTCCTCTTTTTTTGCTGAGGAAGATCCCCTGGGCTAACATCCATGCCCATCTTCCTCTACTTTACATGAGACGTCGCCACAGCATGGCTCGACAAGCAGTGCGTGGGTGTGTGCCCGGGATCCGAACCCGAGAACCCTGGGCCGCCGCAGGGGAGTGCATGCACCCAACCACTTGCACCACCGGGCCAGCCCCAAGCAAGACTTGTTCTTAAAAGCCCCTCCCTCCACCTGGTTTTCTCCTCTTTCTTGGGGCTAGTGTGAAAACTTCATACTAGGTTTTAATTTGCCTGTCGCAAGCCAGGGGAGCAGAGTGTGCTTCTGCTTTAAGCCTTGGAGGATAGGTTAGGGAGTAGTGAAGAGGCTGGAAGAGGAACAAAGAGAGATGCTCAACAGCATAGCAAGATTTGGGACAGAAGCCCTGTTGGTAGTATTTAGTCCCTGGTCAGGGGATTTGGATTGTGAGCTTGGTAAATGTCAGCTGAATTTAGGTTCTTACTGAGGACCTACTAAACTGCCTGATGCCTTGCTGGAGGCTGTGGTGGATATGAAATGGAATACTTTTGCTTGGTAAGTTTATGGTTTCATTAGGGAGACTAGCTATAGATGCATGAATCACCTAGAAACAAGGAAAAGAATGTTCTCAAATGCCAAGAATTGAGGAGATGTAAATCACTATAAAGGAAGAGCTGTAAACCAGGTGAGAACAGAGATGGTGCCTTCTTCAGGGTGGTATCTTCCAGAATCTTGCACACAGTTGGTGCTCAAAAAATATCTTTTCAGTTGAATTAAGGAGTTTACATTAAGAAGTGTTTAGATGGATCTGAATAGACCAGGAGCAGGAAGGGCATTCAGACTTCCTTTATAGCATTAGTTGGAGAGGGGGCTGACTCCTCACCTTTTAAAATGTGAATTGATAGTCATAGTGTCTGTCAGAAAGCTCAATTCAAAAGTGGGGCTTAATGCTAGCTTACAGACTGGTGAAAAGGAGGACACACAAAGGACCTTGGGGTCAAATATTAATCAGGAAACTCATAATCATTCCCACACACCCTTGACCTTAATCAAAACAAAAGTCCCATTTTTTGGAATGCAGAAAGAGTGGAATGAGATTAGAAGGAATGACTTCTACTTAAGTTTTTTTTTTATTATTTCTAGAATCCCTCCATCTAGGAATAGCCAAGTGAATAGTGCAAAGTCATCTGCATTTATTGAAGTCCTTAAATCAGTACTGCTCAAAGGATGGTCCAAAACTGATACCAATCCACAAACCGTTTGTATCTGGTCCAGATGAGGTAAGCAATAGAACTGAGAGTGTTTAGAAACTTTTATAGCAATTTGACATTGTTGTGACATCCATCATGTGATCAGTGGGTTTGTTTTTTATGCCTTTGTTTTTTATTTTATTTTTCTAGAAATTAATTTTTATTTATTTTACAAAAGTACTGACCTACAAGAGATTGGAAATCAAAAAAAAAAAAAAAAAAGCTGGTCCTTCGCCAGGATTAGTTTGAGAAGCACTGCCTTAAATGGTGTTCCTGTGAGGTAGGCAAGTTCTAAGATGATTTCCAGTGCTCCCCTTTCCTCAAGTTCAGCCCTCCAGTGTGGGCTGAACCTAGTGATTTTCTTCTAACAAATAGAATATGGCAAAAGTGATGGGATGTCGTTTCCAAGATTAGGTTACAAAAGGACTCTGAGTGGCTTCTGTCTTGCTTACTGTCTTAGTCTGTTTGGGATGCTATAACAAAATACCGTAGAACTGGTGGCTTATAAACAGCAGAAATTTATTGCTCACTGTTCTGGAGACTGGAAGTCTGAGATCAGGGTGCCAGCATGGTCTGGTTCTAGCGAGGGCCCTGTTCTGGGTCCAGACTGCTGACTTCTTGTTGTATCCTCACATAGTGGAAGAGGCAAGGGAGCTTTCTCTAGGGCTTTTATAAGGGCACTAATCCCATTCATGATGGCTCTGCTCTCATGACCTCATCACCTCCTGATGGCCCCATCTCCTAATACCATCACCTTGAGAGTTAGGTTTCAACACATGAATTTTGGGGGGACACAAACATTCAGACCATAGCACTTACCCGCTCTCGCCATCTCTTGCTCTCTCCCTCTTGGAGAAAGGTGCCATCTTGTGAGCATCCCTCTGTAGAAGCCAGTAGCCAGTGAGAGCCCGAGGTTTGTCAACAGCCACTTGAGTGAGCTTAGAAGCAGATCCTTCCCCGTTGAGGTCGGAGATGACTGTAGCCCTGGCCAACTCCCTGATCGCACCTGGGGAAAGACCCCCAAGCCAGAGGACGTGTCTAAGTTACACATGGAGTCCTGAACCAGAAATGACTCTAAGATGATAAATGTTGTTTCATGGCACTAGGTTTTGGGGTATTTTGTTATGCAGCCTAGATAACAACGTATGCTGTGTCAGAGTGGGCATGAGATAAGTGGAAGGAAAAACTAAAAATGCAATTGCAATTTTGCTGCCTGGTTAGTGATATATTCAATGAATAGTTTATAACTATGAAGTAACATTACAGCAGTACATTCTGGTCCCGAGATGCAAAAATCTGGCTTACTCCTTTAAATGTAAGATTGTAACTTGGCATGAAAGATAGTTACCACTAAAACATAGCCACCATTGGCTGGTATGAGGTGAGCAAAGTGCTTTCTTCCATGGCAGTTTCTTGTAAGTATCCAAATTCAGCAAGAAAGAAAACATCAGAACCTTGGCATCCCTTTTTTAGAAAGTTTCTGCCAATATTAGCCACAGGAAATTTAAATTTGTGGTAGAAATTCCAAGATTAAGCAAAACAGCCTATTAAAAGTCCAAGACAAGGGCTGGCCCGGTGGCACAAGCGGTTAAGTGTGCGCGTTCCGCTGCAGCGGCCTGAGGTTTGCCAGTTTGGATCCTGGGCGTGCACCAACGCACTGCTTGGCAAGCCATGCTGTGGCGGCGTCCCATATAAAGTAGAGGAAGATGGGCATGGATGTTAGCCCAGGGCCAGTCTTCCTCAGCAAAAAAAGAGGAGGATTGGCAGATGTTAGCACAGGGCTGATCTCCTCACACACACACAAAAAAGTCTAAGACATAAAGTAAGATGTTAAGTTGTATTATCTAGGAGGAAGAATTAAGCATAGTTGGTTTCAAAATGTCATGAGTAGGAAGAACAGTGAAGACATTGCAATTGTTAAAGATTTTGTTTACCGTGGGTCAGTCATCAATTTAAATGGAGACGGCCACCAAGAAATCAAGACCGAGACTTGGAAGGGCAGCGATGAAAGAATTAGGAAAGATCGTCAAGTGTAAGGAAGCATCATTAGAGAACAAGGCCAAGATCATCCACACCCTCGGATTCCCAGTTACTATGCACAGGTGCAAAAGCTGGACAGTGGAGAAGGCTGACAGGAAAAAAAATGGATTTGTTTGATATATGGTGTTGGAGGAGAGCTCTACAGATATCCTGGACCGCCAGAAAGATGAACGGGTGGGTCCTGGAGAAAATGGAGGCAAAAATGATATGACTATCAAAAATGACTATCGCTGGAGGCAAAAATGATAACATTGTGGCTGTCCTACTATGGGCACATCATGAGACGGCAGGATTCTTTGGAAAAGACAAC